CAAGTTCGATACCGCAGCCTGACAACAGTCCATACAGCTGCACCGTGAATAATGCACACATAGCAAGACTGAACTAACACATAAAGAATCGGGTGAATCACAACTATGTCAAGCTGGAAAACGGGAAGGAATCTTTATGGGTGAAGCCGCGAACACTCGGTAGGTGATAATGATCTTGTCTAGAGACTGGCACATATTGAGAGAACCTAAACCAGGATGGTCGGACTGAGGATGGCTGAGTACCAACGGTGACTCGGGCACGGCCTCACATTCCAGCACTTCGCGTCCTTAGCGATTGGGCTAACTCCCGAAACCTGGGAAATCGGGTGGTTTTCCTTGACTATGTGGAAGTGTTGGGCCCCTCATGTGCTCCGCAAACCATGGGTTCTTAGCAATACTGTCATTGATTCATACGTGACAGGACACATTGAGCTGCAAGTTTAGCATGATGCCTTTGGCGATGGTGATCTGAACAAGGAGTTGGCCTCGTTGAGGAATTGACCATGCCCAAGTCCGCGGTAGGTTACAGGTGATGTTCGGTGACAAACACAAAATATGGAATTGAGGGTCCATATGGGTCCATCTGCATGGCGATTGGGGAACACTTGTCTGAACATGTTGAAATGCTGCCAAACACCCCGAATGAAATCCTGATATTTGCACCGAGCAAAGACTGCGATCTGATTGTAAGCAGCCACTCGGTCAGCATAAACAGTAACAGGTGATGGCAGGTGTCCATTGCTTTATGTCGAAAGCAAGCAAGCGAGACATTTGCCGAGCTGTTTGTCTGCCTCATTGTGATCTCCATTGCCTAATGGCGCTGTTTGCCCGGTTTTCAAGTTTCAGGTCATCCAAGTCGCAGGGATCACACCGGTTCTACAACCCAGTCATTTTGTCCATTAAATGCTCGGCGGAGGTGTAAGCTGTTCGGAGCGATCTCTGTTTCGCCTCCAATGCTCTCCAGGGCCCTGATCCGGTCAGGCATTCTGCAGCTTGGGCGAAGATCCGCACAACGGGCATAACAAATTGGTTCTCAAATCCTACATGCTGTGTCGCTAATAAGACTTGGACACATCGGCCGTGTACCTGTCGACCACGTGCCGACCCCAGTCTTTACCCCATTGCCAGGCGTCTTCTCTGGCCGCCTGAATGGTGAGCACATTCTTGCGGAGGAAGTGGCCCCCAAAGCCCATACCTCGACATGAGTACTACCCTCAGTATGTGGTATCCCCAGTCCGTCCAAAGCTTCCAAAAGGGAGCTAGCGACTTTGGGATGCTTCTTAAACCCAAAGGGATTCAGGGTGCCAGTGCACACCGGCTGGTGGTTTGAACGCGGGAAACCCATCTGACGACTCTGACTCACTGCAGCCACAGCGCCCATGGTGACCTCAGCGTTGCCAGCCCCTCCAACGGGTTTTCGGGGGTCCTACAGTTCCCGGGCCCTTCCAAACGAGATGCTTCATTTTGTAAGTTCTCCAGATCCCCTGCTTGCCGGTGGCTCTGAGATGCATGCCATGAACCAATGCTGAGAACTCTGCTTGTTGGGCAAGAGACATCTTTATCACCACCCACTAGACCGAGCCAACCGCAGCCGCACTACTGGCAAAAGGCTGAGACAAAGCGCCATGTTTTGCTTGATCACTCTCACGGTATCCATCGAGGCATCTTTCAAACACCGCTGCCAAGCGCAGCCCACCGGCGCTATCGGCGCGATCGCTATGGATTCCAAGGCGCTGCCGGCTTCCGGGGGCCGTAGAGCCCCTGCACCCAGATCCAATTCGGGATGTTCCTGAGCTCCACCCAACATCCGAAATCCGAAGCACCCCATCCGTCTTGGCTCACGCTGCATCAATGGAGCCGTGGGGCGGGCACTCCATTTTCAGGACCCAGTGGCAACCCGGGTAGACCTTGGGGCGGCAGCGTCCCGCTGGCAACTTGCAGAAGTCCAATGGCTAAGCATGCGCCTACTCAAAGTGTATGACTCAGGCCAAGGACAAAGCAAGCTTCTGAGACATGCCGAAACATAGTTGTGCCTATGACTGCAGCTTCACCGGAACACAGGGCCCAAGTGCCTCACTTGACGGAGAGGCGAGCTGTTTTTTTTGTTTCTCTTCGGACTCCGCCGAGCATCCGCATCGCCGCCTCGCCCACGGACGTTGAAGCCGCGGTAATGGGGGTCTCCACTCCAGCCGAACTGGATCTGTTGGCCTTTAGCCTGGCATCCAACTCCAGAAGTTCCGTGACTGCTGCTCACCCTTGCAGCTGAGAACTGTTGTGCCTCTTGCTTCCTGCACCTTTTAGAACCATTTTTGTGGAAATGCATGTTGCAAATGGATTTGCCACATTCTCCATGGGAGGCAGCGGCATACGTATACTGTATATACATAATATATGCATGGATATGTACACATATATATATATATATACAATATATGTATATATAAATATGTGTTCTGTACCATGTATCAACAAATCACGCCCGAGGGTTCATCGCACCATTGCCTGAGCGGGCAGTTGACAAAACAGGAAATGCAAAGGAGGATAGACTGTCCGACCCTACACCGACCGTTTTGAGGCGTTTTATCGTGTTCATCGTCGCGTCTCTCAACCTCTGCTCATCCTTTCCAACACCAGCTAGCACACAGGGCATTCCTAGCTTTTGTCTGGGCACAAAACAACCCGGCCACAAGCCAATCGTTTGAGCTGGGAAAGAAGGTTTAGCATGCACCAGTCGAATGCTCTTTGATGAGCAGTTGTGTCTATGCGGCATTTTTGCCCATGTTTGTGGGCTTCTTGGGGCACCCGGGCAAACAAAGCCACGGGAAAGGGGGCTGGCACCAACGAACTGATTCATCAAAGGTATCAAGCGTGTGCAACCTTGGGTCAAGAATCAGAGCGGGCACACGTATTGATGGTTGGTTAATTTTGTTTTGGGTGTGCCCAAAGGATCCAGAGATTACAGGTCACTCTTTTCGGAACCACGAAACACAAAAAACAAGGGGAAGCCCAAAAGGTCGATTCGCTTTCACGCGCGCTCATAGCAATCTCCCGAACGTCCCACCTCCGCAGGCTTGTCGTGCTGGCACTTCACGGCCTGCGGGAAAGCTGCATTTTGTGACCCGAAATTGGCGCTGGTGGGTTGGTGTGGGTCGATCAACAGGTGCCCTTGGGCTCGAGTTGGCTTCACGGCCTTCCGAGATTTCAAGTTGGACACCTGGAGGACACTTTTACACAACTGGGCATGAGGCCGGTGCTTGAGAGGTGAGAAAACAAAACCACCCACCTGCTGGTGGAGACCATTGTATGCCAGAGCTCGCAAGTCGCTTCTAAGGGTCAACTCTTCTTCCCATGCAATCTCCTCCATCTTCCCTTTCCTGTATTGCTGGACATTATATACCTGGGAAGAGAGAAAGAAACGGAGGAACTCATTCAGTTCCCTTCGCTCACCCCCTTCTCAAAGATTGCCAAGACAAAGGAATTTCCGAGGGACACGTTGAGAGTAAGAACACATGTTTACATGTCAAGTCTCTCTTTCCTGCATCTCGATTCTATGCTGTAGGCGAACGAAAGAGAGTGAACATCGCCGTCTCGTCTCTCATCCCATTCTTTTACTCACTTCCCAAACAGAACCAACGAAAGCCTGAGTGTTTATCTTGCGGAATCCGGACAGGGGCGGGATCCGAAAATCTCGAAGCACGTGACACCCAAAGTACATGAACAGCTCCCCATGAACAGCGCCCCGGGATCAACCTGATTTCAACATTTCTTCAACCAGCCTGTGCCCTCTCTGGGACGCCCAAAGCAGAAGACCACTGTTGGACGGGAAAGGTCGTGTAAACCCAGGCTTGAATCCCCCAACCCCAAGCCCTCCGTGCGCCTGATCGAAGTTCCCGTTGTTGCAGTTCAAAGTCGACGGCGCGGGGACGTAGCCTGCAGTACCGGCAAAAGCCCCACGCCAATGTTTTTTTTTGTTTGAGGCTGCCCCTGTGAGCGTCAAACCAAAGGACTGGTTTTGGGGGGTTTCCCATTTAAAGGCAAACCCAGTACTGGGCTGCCCTCAGATCCCCCGCTTTTGTTTTACTTTGAGTGGGTTAAATCGAAGCTACCACTAAACACTAAAAGGCTGAGAAGCTAAGGAACCGGATGGCTGGGAGCCACCAAGAGTAGAGTACCCAACGTTGTTCTACCCTCTCAGGATCCTCAAGGCCAAAATGAAAACCGTCGGCTCCCTCTTTTGTTGTGAGCCCTTTTTGTGGGCAAGCAGCCGCACAAAAAGAGGAAACACATGACGCTTTTTTCATGGGCAACGATGCTGAACAGCTCAAAGCTCACTCAAATACAGGCTAGATTCACTACCGGCTGCGACACACAGCTTCAGGAATTGCGTGACCAATTGAAACACATGACTGCTCTGGCAACGTTGGCTTTGACCAATGTTCCTTTGACGATGGGGGACAATGTCTCTTTGATTCATCTCTTGACATGCGCAGCACCAATAACTTCCGGAAGTATCCCAAGGCTCACCAAGGAGGGCTGTTCCTAAAACGGGAGGCGATAATTATTCCATCCAAACTTCACGGCGGTCACTGAGGAGAAGCGAGCCAGGGAGATAAAACCTAAGACCCTGAGAACCCTACGGCATGTTCCAACCGATGGGTTGTAAGACTGCGTGACTCACGAAAGAGGGACTACCAAGATGAACCAGTCATTAAGCAAGGAAAGGCGACGGCCCCCCATCCACAAATACGATTGGCTGGGTGGCGATTCGCCAAAACATCTGCAGGGCTCTCCAAAATAGTGGTCCCCTAAAAATGGTCGGTTTCCCTTGGGTGGCCCTTAAAACAACAACCAAACGAGGTTTCACTGTTTTGAGAATCCGGCAGCTTCGAAAGAGGAACCAGGCCTAGCTCGCAGATGGGAGTGCAGGCGCTGCCGTGCGGAATCTTCCCAGTTGGGTCGTCCTCCAGCTCCCGGCAGCTGTAGCTTAGGAGCTTGCTCGC